CGCAAACTTACCTTGAACTTCCAAAAAAAAATTAAGAGCAAGACCAAAGTCTATTTGGATCCTATTAGGTTAGGTCCCAAGCATATTTAGTTCCTGCTACAGTCAAGATCTAAAGTTATTTTTTATCTTACTCACCCTGGTCCAATTCTATCTTTGAGTTAGCCTTAGACCATGCGGTGCAAGACCCAAATTAAACTAAAGTGTTATTGGATAGAATTATTATTACAATATATTTGGTAAAATTAGTAAATGATATAACATTTTATTTTAAATTCATCAATTATTTTATTAATAATATTAATTACAATAAAATATACTCTTATAAATTTTACTGAAAGTAATAATATTTATAATACAAATCATAATATTTTTAGTATTAATATTATTAATTATTATAAAAATAATAGTATCTATAACTCCAAAAATAATAATATTTTTGATATGAATACTATTAATTATACTAAAAAAATATATTAAGAAAAAAAATATAATAATGATTTTATTATTAATTATACCAAAAAAATAATATTAAGAGAACAAATAATAATAGTTTTGAGATCTATACTATTAATTAGACTAGAAAAATAATAATATTTTTAACACCAGTACTATTAAGAAAAAATATAATAATTCTTTTAATACTAATTATACTAAAAAAATAATATCAACAAAACAAACAATAATATTTTTACTATTAATACTCTAAAATTTAATTATACTAAAAAAATTAAAAAACACAAATAATAATATTTTTAATATCAATACTTGTAATTATACTAAAAGTGTAGGCTCTCAAGCACCACGTGATGCTTGGGCTGCACCAAAAAAAAAGTAGACCAAGAGCTAGGTGGCGCTGGGTTGTGGGCTTGGGGTGATGTTGCCTAAGCGCCATGTAACATTTATTCTGCTCGCGGCTAGAATCCAATTTTATTTTGAAATCCTACCTGCTAGGTCTAAGGCTAGACTTGGGCCATGCTTGTGAATGTCCAAGTCAAAGCACCACCTGACGCTTGGATTGTAGCCAAGAGGAAGCAAGTCAAACGCCACATGGCACTTGGACTATCCGTTCGTAGAGGGGAACCTAAGCGCTACGTGTCCGTCCCAAATATTATTGTTTGTTTTTCTTTCGTAATAATAGTATTTGTTTTAATTTTATTAATGATGATAATAATATTTATACTCTTATAAATTTTAATAAAAATACTAAAACTTTTATAATACAAATATTAATATTTTTAGTAGCAATAATATGAATTATTATAAAAATCATATTATTTATAAAACCAAATATAATAATATCTTAAAGATTAATACTATTAATTATACTAAAAAATAATATTAATAGAACAAATAATAATAGTTTTGAGATCAACACTATTAATTAGACTATAATAATAATAATAATAATTTTTTATATTAAGAAAAATTATAATAGTTCTTTTAATATTAATTATACAAAAAACAACATCAACAAAACAAACAATAATATTTTTACTATTAATACTCTAAATATTAATTATACTAAAAAAAATATAATAAGAAAACTAATAATAATACTTTTAATAACAATACTTGTAATTACATTAAAAGCACACGCAACCCAAGTGTCACGTGGCACTTAGGCTGCACCTAAGATTAGTCTAGATTTGTGTTGTGTAACACTTAACACAACAAATACTTAATACTTTTATAGCCCATACTATATGGTATAACTAACACATGTGCTATGAAGAAAACTTGATTTATTGTTAACATAAGTTGTAATCATAAATGCTTGACAACATTTACAAGTATTAACATTAATCAAATAAGATAACTAATGTAATCATATTAATAATTTATAATCTGAGTAAAACCTCCTTTGTGTGTGGTTTCCAATTGAATAATAAGACTTTATACTATACTTATTTGACATACCATTAGTGGATCCTCTAACCTTGATATTTGTTGATATCATTGTTTAATCCTCACATTGATCTTCCATCTTAAATTACTCATCAACTTCTTCTTCTTCTTTATTATTATTATTGTTGTTGTTGTTGTTTATAATTTATACAATTAACCTCTTTGTGGTTCGACCCCGGTCTTGCTGGGTTATTTATTACTTCGACACTCCTGCATTTGGAAGAAGACATCAATCTTTTGGTCGTATCAAGTTTTTGGCGCTATTGTCGGGGAGGTAAAGTCTGGTATAGATAAAAGTATTTATTTTATTTTCTCTTTTCATTTTTATTGTATTTAACATTGTTTTTTTGTTTTGTTTATTTTTTTTCTTGTTCCTTTTATTATATTTCTGCACTTACATGAGAGTGTGGTCACTTACATTAAGTGATAGACTTTATAGGGTATCCTTATTATTTTTAGAAAATATGGCCGAAAAAGATTATCAGTCGCTTCATAATGAGAATAATGCGAATAATCGTGTTAGAACACTTAGAAATCACATGAATCCCACAAGAATAAGTATACCATCATGCATGGTTTTCCCTCCTGATGCATCTCATTTTAATTTTAAGCTAGACATTATTCAACTTTTACTTTCTTTTCGTGGCTTAAATTTAGAAAATTCATAGTTGCATTTAAAAGAATATGAGGAGGTCTATGACACTTATAATGACTCAAATTGTAGCATGAATACCATCAGATTAAAGCTTTTTTCTTTTTCATTAAAAGATAAAGCTAAAACATGACTACAAAATTTGAGACTTGGATCCATTCGTGTTTGAGATGAAATGTAATAATAGTTTTTAAAGAAAGTTTTCCCTTTTCATAGAACAAACTCTTTCAAAAGACAAATCACCACTTTTACTCAAAAACCAAGAGAAACATTTTACCAATGTTGGTATAGATATCGAGATTTGCTTAATACTTGCCCTTATCATGGTTTTTGAAATATAGAGAATGGTTTCATATTTTTATGAAGGGTTAACACCTAGAGATAGGCAAATGGTTGAATTAATGTGCCATGAAACTTTTGAATATAAAGACCCTGATTTAACAATGAAGTACTTAGACTTGTTAGCTGAAAATGCTCAAAATTGGGACACTATAGGCACTTATGAGGTATCGGGTAAAAATCAACTACATATATTTAGTGGAGGTATGTACAATTTTAGGAAAGATCGTGACCTTCAAGTTAAGTTTGCATCTTTAGTTAGAAAAGTTGAGGCACTAGAAGTTAAAAAGAGTGGTTAATTAAAATCTGTTCAAGAAATTATATGTCAAATTTATGAAACAAATGAACACTCAATAAATGACTATCCAATTTTTCCTTCTTTTAAGGAATGTCTCCATGAACAAGCCCATGCTTTAAACAGTTTCCAAAAGCCTAATCATAACCCATCTCACAAACATACAACCTTGGTTGGAGAAATCACCCAAATTTTAGTTGGAAGAGTGATAATAACAATGCATAAACTTCACAATCACCGCTTCAAGCACACCATAATTTCCAACATTCTTATGGATATGCACCTCCTTATGCTCCACCTC